TTATTTTTGGGCCACTTACGTGAAAGACACTGAGAGATAGAGCCAAACGGACGAAATTTTCGCCCATAGGGCTCTACTTACATGAGTTACCCCTTAAACGTCCATAAAAAAAATATTTTTTTTCCACTTCTTGGACCAACCCCTATTTCTTTGTTACCCCCTCTGACCCACTCAGGGGTGGTTGCCAGGATTTGCACCAACCGTTTCGTTGACCACAAGTGACAACAATAATACCCTGAAAATTTCAAACCTCTAGCCCACGTCTTTCTTGGGAAACGGACAGACAGACAGACAGACAGACAGACAGACAGACAGACAGACTGACAGACGAGCACAGAGGCGATGGCATAAGCTCGCTTATATAGCTTTTAAGCAAAAGAGAGGGCTAAAAAAGGAGCAATCACAACAAAACCATCGTTTTCGTTTAAAATCTGTTAATGCGCAACCTTTAATTAACTGTATGTCGAGAACCATTTTAGGCACCGAGCCAAATGTTCCTCCTTTTAATGCGCAATGTACGGTTTCGGGGGGGTACTTCCTCTGCCATTTTGCGATTTGGGCCCTCCTTTTAGCACTTTTTGACCATCGTACTTTACTTTATAGGCCAATAAACATGTTTCTATCTTTTTAACTCTTATTTTAGTTGTTCCTTTTAATTTATTGCAGCGGCACTTCATACCACTGTAAAGAAGGCCCTTTTCTCTTATAAATACGCCCATTCGAAATGTCGTACCTTTCACCTTTCACCCTCAATACTCGTTCAAAGGTAGAAGTGCACGATTAGGGTCTTCCTCGGTTCATACGCTCCCCGAATGAGATCATCGGGTAGACTTTTCAGAAGAATGGAGAGGACACTCAGTTCTACCCGATGCACAAAATCAAAATTCCCTGCGTGTTTTTTAAACGTAAGATATTTCGACGTTTATTTTCGCTCCTTCAGCCGGCCGGCGAGGCGAGCGCGCGCTGCTCTGTCTCTGTTCCTCCCACGCGGGCGAGGGAGAGAGAGCGAGCTGGGGTCCCCCCACCACCACCCCGACTCCAGCGGCGGGCTCCGGCGGGACGGCTCCGGCGGCTCTGCACGGGTTCAGTTCGAGGCGGATAGAACCTGAACGGTTAAATGTGCCGAGAATCTGAAAACAGCGACGTCGAGCTAAAGGTTGAGCGCACATCGTTTGCTTTAGCCACTTTAAAGTCTAGTGCCTCGTTTCAGAGATATGACGTGATATTTTTAATAATCTTTGTTTGGAAATGAACACTTTTCAATCAAGTTAAATTTAAGCACATAAGTTAACGTTGCGCGACTGATGTTAAGATGCAGGTTTGTTCCTTGTTTCCTTCCGCACATTTTGACACAAGTCCCGTTAAAATCGCACGATTAGTTTCGGAGCTACGGCGAGTACCGCATACCCCTGCACAGAGGCCCTTTTGTTCAATTTCAGATGAACGCTCACGAGTTAGGTCACTAGACTTTTTGGCATGTGATGCAGCACATCAAACTGCATCGATTCCATCAGATTCCAGCTTGACATGTTTTTGTTCCGGGTTAATACCTTCGTTGACTGGACTAGCTCGGTTGACACAGCGAGCGGGCCCGATGTTTGATTGACACGTTTAGGGCCCGAGCTCGACCCTCCGAACACGTGAAAAGGGTCTCGAGATCCCCGCTATAGGCAGAAACCCAGTCTCCTTTAGCCAGCTTATATCGGGGAGGTACTCTACCCTATTGTTTCCAGCAAAGATTTGTATCAAGGACTGCCTCCCCCCCCCCCCAAAAAAAAACAACAACCTTACATTGAACGGAATTATTTTTCGCATATAAACAAATACGTGTACTACATGTAGCAGTACATGCAGCTGCAGCTTTTACAGAAGACTGAGTTCGTTACGGCTGCACTGATAAACTAAGTGTCTAATTGCACAACACCTGTAGGTGTGCAACACCAAGTTTAATACATACAAGTGTGCGACTTTGTAGTTCTACATAATTTCAAGGTGAGCAGTTGCAAGTGTGCAGCTCCTTCTCATGTGAGAAACGGGTGCTCGAATCGACGTCGAATCGAGGTCGATTGCTTGAGAAGTTATCGTCGGTGCTGAGACGAAGTTGTCGACGAAATTTCGATGTCTCTCCATAAGTGCCTCAGGGCACGGCTAAATTCAGCTAATGGGCCTTGACGGTTCCACCGTTCCCAGTACTAAATTGCAAGAAATTTCACACCGTACATGATCGATGTCGATTCGAGACAGGGTCGTACCTCACTGTACAGTTAGCTCTCGCTGATCACCCGCAACACCATAACAACTTTATGCTGGAGACGTGTTTAACAGGGCGCGGAAAATGTCCGTCACGGACTTCGCCTCCTGCAGGAATTTTTGAATGCGACTTCGACGCGAAAGCCTACGGACACCACCAGTCGCTATTGGACCTAGCTTCGAGGGAGAAATCACTCCGGATAAAAGCTAACGAGTTAGTACGTTAGTACACGTTAGTATACCCCATTTTTAGCGCAAGTTTTCATTATTTACGCGAAATTATTTTATTACGAGTTAGTACGAGTTAGTGCGTCTTTAGTACATGCCTGGGTGTACGAGCTAGTACGCAAGTGATTTCTCCCTCGCCGAGCTTTACCGTTGAAAACTGTCCCTTTTGCCCCTCTTTGATAAGGTATCGAAGAAGTTGACGTCGAAAAAAGCGTCGATTTGTGGGACAAAATCCCGTGGATTCGACATTTGGGATCGACAAATTTTCGACCGGCCTAATCGACGTCGATTCGAGATCGATTCGACCACTGATTTCTCACTGGGTGAACACTTCCTTATATTGAACGTATGAAGTGCTCAACCGAGGAGTTGCAAGTGCATACATACCAAGGTGAACACTTGCAAGTATTCAACTTGAAGTTGCACTTTTAGAAGTGTTAAGCAGCGGCACACTTAGTTTATTAGTGTAGACATGCTGCTGGCAACAGTCGACATCCTCAAAAACGTCGTCATTGAAAGTTTTTTTTGCTCTTACCTTGAGCGCCCTCAACTATACGCATGAAGGGCACAGCAGTAACTACGAACAGGAGGCGCAGAGCTTGCATTGCGCCTGGATAGATCTGAACTGCATTGGGCCACAGAACACGTGTGACTAAAGACGGGTAACCTGTTTCACGCTTGGATAGGTGCCCGGGTGCCCGGGAGCGCTATGCTACGACTAGGTCGTTCAAGGTGACGATCTAATGACCAGCAGAGCACCTATGCAGACATGCTGTGTTATTGTGGTGTTACTATTTCATGTTACTGTACGTGTACGTCATACCTACAGGGGACCCAGTCCAGAAATCCTATGCGCGTTCTCATGAACAATCGGACATCAAGGGATGTCCTGGGAGGAATTTCTCAAGAAAGGTGACTCATGCAGGTAAGAAAATAACACTACATTACTTTCCTAGTATCATGGTTCGTCTCGTTAACAGAAAAAGTTAACGCGTTACGTTACGTTAATTTGTAAATCAAGTTAACGTAACGCGTTACGTTAACAGTGCAGAGGAATTATTAACGCGTTACGGTACGTTAAAACGTCGTTAACGTTACGTTAAGTCCCAAAATTGCCAAAAATCTTAAAATCGCGAAGAAAAGAGTACAAAATTGCGGAATTACGCTGGAAACTGTTAGGACAAACAATAAGCAGTCCCTTTTTAGATGAAAACATTGCATTCTAAGTCAATTTTACACAAACAAAACTTTTAAAAAATGGAATAATATTCATTTACTGAAAGGAAATTCGCCTTTTGCCATCGTTCATCAAACCTGTTTTAACGTTAACGGTGTTACGGCGTTACCTATTCCTGATAACGTAACGCGTTAACGTTACCAATCCTAGACAAAAATAACTCGTTACGTTAACGTTACTAAAAAAGTTAACGTAACGTCGTAACGTCGTTAACTCGTTAATTAACGAGACCAACCCTGTTTGTGACATATTATGGAGTATAATAAAGGTATTATGGGACCCGTATAACGGAACATTATGCGAGTTGGTGACCCCTCGGGCGGATCCGCGTGGACTGTTGTAACTACTTGAACTGACCTACAACAAGCTCCGCTTCGCTCCACCGGCAACTCCGTTCGGCAGGGGCCAGGCCTGCTTGGCCTGCCGGCGGCGATGGTCGGGCCTTCGGCCCGACCATTTCAGTCTCGCGATTTACTGAAGTGCATAATCAAATAAATAATGTGACCGGTAAATCACTTGGCATATTTGAGTAAACTAAAGCGTCCGGCGAGGGGCCTGCGGCCCTAGAAATTTTCCCCCTGGACATGACAAGAGACTGTAACGGGGCAACACCGTGACTACACCCCACCCTTCTGCTTTGCTAAAGAATTAAAAAAGGTGAACCAGCGCAGTTTTTAGATTGTACATTGTTTGTCAAACAGTTTTAAAACTTGACTTTCTGCTATTGTTTTTAATATATCTACCTCTAGGGCCGAAACAGTAAAAGATACGGCAAATCCGAGGGTAATTTCAGATGCAGAATGCGTTGTTTTGGGGGGGTACTTCCTCTGACATTTTACGATTGGACGCCTCCTTGTACGTCTTTATGAGCAACGCGGTCATTTTCGCCGTATTTCGTCGAAAAAAGCACTCTAGCCCAAACGGTGCAAGATAGGGTCAAACGGACGAAATTTTCGTCCAAAAGGCTCTACTTTCACGAGTTACCCCTTAGGAGACCATAAAATAATATTTGATTTTCTACTTTTTGGACCAACCCCTATTTCTTTGTTACCCCCTTCCACCCCCTTAGGGGTGGTTGCCAGGATTTGCACCAGGCGTTTCGTTGTCCAGGAGTGACCCCTAACACTGTTATTCAACGAATGTGACGTCACATTCGTTTGAATGTAAATCGTGTCACGTTCGTTTAAATGTGGTGTCACATTCGTTTAAACGTGAATCGGCCAGTGCCTGGGCCCATTTGACCATCAATTCACGTGAAGTCACGTGCAAATGAATGTGACACAATATTCAAACGAATGTGACACGTTTCACATTGAAACGAATGTGACGTCACATTCCTTGAATAACAGTGAAGATACCCTGAAATTTGCAGACCTCTAGCTCATCTCCTTCCTCTTACACGGACGACGGACAGACAGACGGACACGAGAGCGGTTACATAAGCCCGCTTTAATGCTTTTTTAAAAGCAGAAGGGCGGGCTAAAAAACAAAGAGGGAAGCTTTGTGGCCTAGTCTTATAGGGACTGTCTTCAAAGTTTTGGATTTACATTGCGCCTTATGGGCGGCTCGAGTTTTAGACCAGAATAACTTTTATACTGATTCGACACTTAAAACCTACAAGCACGGAGTTCGTGGAGTCTCCGTATAAACCCGTAGTTCCAGGCAGCTCCGTACAGACACGCAGATCAGCGGGTCCCCGTATAACGTCGTAAGTGCTTCAAAGTCACTTCTAAGATATAGCGCTTCAAAGTTTTGGATTTACGTTGCGCCTTATGGGCGGCTGGATTTTCAGACCAGAATAACTTTTGAAGTAATTGACATATCGAAATGCGGTTTTCGCTGATCGATAGCCCTTGGTTTCCTCTATCCGACGCACTTCATAACTCGAAAAACATAGTTACGACGCCAAACGGCGGCCTGCTGAACTCCGTGTTTGTACCGAGCCCTCGGGAACTGCGTGTTTATACGGAGCCGCCACGAACTCCGTGTGTAGGTTTCAAGTGTCGTATTGATATATCGCAATGCGGTTTTCTCTGATCGATAGCACTGAGTTTTCTGTATCCGACGCACTTCATGACTCGAAATTTTCAAAAAACATAGTTATGATGATATACGGTGGCCTGCTGAGCTCCATGTTTGTACAGTACAGAGCCCGCGGTAACTGCGTGTTTATACGGGCCCAACGCCGTGGAGGTAGGCAACCCGTAGCGCTGCCCGCCAGCGACAATTTCCCTTTTCTCCCGCACAATCCCCTCTTTTCCCTCCGATGCCCGCTAGCGACAATCCTGACCCTTCTACCTGGGGCCCTTGCCCGCTAGCGAGCACCTCTCGTTTATACGGAGCCTCCACGAACTCCGTGTGTATATGTTTCAAGTAAGTGTCGAATAAGGTGAAATTTAGTGGTCATGGTTTTAAATTTGGTCGAGTAGTACACGAAATACAAGAGGATTACATAGGGATTACACCTTCATCCGTACACAGGATTACGCGAGTGGTGGCCCCCTTCGCTGATTCTTCACCCTTTTACTCGCCTCACGCCCCCCCCCCCTTTTCACCCGCAGCGGAGTTTGGATTGCTGGGGGAGCGTGGTAACACTATACAGGGCTCTTATATACGCCAGGAGAGAAGTAAACTTAAAGAAAATTATGACAAATATTCCTGAAAATGTCATACAAAAAGGCAAGCTGCTATTAAAATCCCGAGATCGCCACTACCTTTTGGGTACAGCCCCCGTCGACCTCATCATATCCTCATGCCCTCGCGTCCGTTGTCAAGTAGTATGCACTGTGCGAGGAAACGCTTCGGTGCACTCCGCATTCACTACACCACCTCAAAATACCGCCCACGCACAGCAGCCTAAGTCTACGGTGCAGCACAAACTTGCATTTCCTTCCTGCGGAATTTCCCATAACGATTAACCACTGTACTCTCAACACAGCTGTGACTGCAGTCACGCGAAAAACCAGTGGCGTCAGTACAGGTGCTTCAGCCATTGCATTATAAGGCCGTGTAAGTTTCGTCCCAGCTGGCACTCACTCATAACTTCCAGAGGACTCGGCCACGACATTTCAGAACGCATTCATCAATACAGAGCCTAAGATGAGTTTCTGCGTAGTGCTAATCTATGCTTCACTGTTGTGCGGTAAGTACCGTAGCCATAAGAGCTGATAATGGTCTGTTGATGTTACTAAACATTTGTCTAAACCCGTCGCGTTCAATGTTAAAGTAGGCGAGGCGATGTATACACAGCAGTTACCCACGCCTTTGAAGCACCAAATCCCCTAAAACATTCTCAGAACGTGTTTTTAGCCCGCTCTTCTGCTTTGAAAAGACTATCAAGCGGGCTTATGCAAACGACCTCGTGTCTGTCTGTCTGTCTGTCTGTCTGTCTGTCTGTGTGTCTGTCTGTGTGTCTGTCTGTCTGTGGGTCTGTCTGTGTGTCTGTCTGTCTGTGTGTCTGTCTGTCTGTGTGTCTGTCTGTCTGTCTGTCTGTGTGTCTCTGTGTGTCTGTCTGTCTGTGTGTCTGTCTGTCTGTGTGTCTGTCTGTATGTTTCACTAGAAGGAGATGTGCTAGGGACTTGAACTTTTCAGGGTAACTTAAGGTTCACTCCTCGAGAACGAAACGCCTACGGCAAATCCTGGCAACCACCCCTAAGGGAGTGAATGGGGGTACCCGAGGTTCAAATATTCGCCCCAAAAGTTATATTTTTTTAATGTCCTTCAAAGGGGTAATTTGTCAAAGTAGAGAACGTTGGGCAAAATCGTCGTCCGTTTGACTCTATCTCTAACCGTCTATGCGCTGGAGGGTTTTTTGACGAAAATAAGCTAAAAATTGCCGTAGTGAACAATAAGTTGTAGAAGACATAAAAACAACAGACTAGAAAAGAAACTCCCCCCCCCCTCCCCCCACTTCCACTTAATGGCAAAACAATAGGGATTAAAATGAGATGCCGCCCAAACTGCTGCGACATGCCTGCGACGAGTAGGAGGCGTCTAAAGCTCCGAGTGCACGCGCCGCGGCGAAATGAGTTCGTACGCTTCTGGAGCGTCGCGGCGAGATCGTACTCTTCTGGTTTGTCGCGGCGAGATCGTACTTGTCTGGTTCGGCACGGCGAGATCGTATTCTTCTCGTAGGACCCGTCGACTTGCAGGCTTGGTTGCCAGGCAGCTGAGGGGGACTCAAATCTTTGGATATGTGTATTCCTTCCTCGACGCTATTTGTGAGGAATTAAATAAATAAAAATCTGTTCACGCAGGTGCAAATGGGAACGTTCTTCTCACTACAATAAGTAACATCGGGGACTCTTTTGGGAGGTTATCGGACAGCATAGTGGGCAGCGTCGTAACTGTTCCCACTAATCTCACCACAAGTATCGCCGATGGTTTCAGTGAGATCCAGTTCATCCTCATGTCGTAAGTGACTTCCTGAGTGCTCAGTGCAACCTTTTACTTTTTAAATAGGTTTAAAATTGGTACCCAAAAAGGCGCAGTCTTGTACCATAAACTCTAAATGTAAAGGAACTCCTTTTTTTTACCTTAAACTAGCACTAAAATGTTTGTCTATAGCAAGAGATCTATGGACAAAAAGGTGTCATTTTATAGACAAATTGTGTCATTAGAAGGGTCAAAGTGTTTTTTGAATAAATTGTCCCCTCCTTGGAAACAAATTCGTTGCGAAAAAGGGGACGGATTTAAACGTCCACTCGCTGGGACAAATGTCTTGTCCACGAAACAGGAAACAAATTTGTCCATAAGATTACAACAAAATTGAACTTTGTCTTCTCTAACGAAACAATTTTGTCTGTCGTTGGATGCGTGGAAATCCGTTCCCTCGTTATGGACAAAATTGTTCTTTTACATTTAAAGTGTAAACGACACTACAATGTGAAAGATGTGTTGTAGTTTTACAGTTAATAACAAGTTTCGGTGAACATAATTTGTGACCCTCGCAGTAAAATAAGATTTTGTTCCTCAGATTGAAAAACGTGTGTAAATGTACGTATGTAACTTATGTACGCATGTAACGTTTTCCGTTAAAATTACGGCAGTAATGAGGCAATTCTTTATAGTTAAAATTCTACTTTGGTATTTGGGAGTCCCTCGACTTGGCTTGATGGCAATCGCTGAGCTTCTGGAGTTGTGTTGACAGGTCCGACGAAGGCCACTCGTCGTGTAAGGTGGGAGACGCACCCACACTTCTCAAGAACGCCAGGTTCAATGAGTCGCTTCCCACTGCTTTCTTTATCCATGGATACCTGGACGGGCAGGATAGTGAGAGCCTGATCGCAGTCTCTGGAGGTAAGAGCTAAAGCGCACCAGTGGGGCACTTCACTGGTAAAATCGGGTAAAACAGCTGTTAAATTTTACACGTCAATTGACGAGTTAGTTCCAGTTGCAGTTAGCTTGTCTGCGGTGTGCAGTTCTTGAGTAGAAAGAACGTTGTATGCCAAAGTATCATAAAAAATTGCACTCTACGAAAAATTACAAATTTCTGTATCAAATTTGTTACAGTTTTCTGTATCCGGGCACTGTGATGCACCAATTTGCATCGGTGATACAAAATCTTGCAATAGCTTATGGAAATTTGTAAACATTATACATTTTTGGATTTTATTTCAAAATTTTATATTAATCTTATAATTTTCTGTAATCTGATTACAAATTTTTGTAAACGAGATACACATTTCTGTAACATGGAAACAGAAATCTGTATGTGCGTTCAAAACTGTGCGGTTTTAACGTTCAATTTGAACACGATATGAGTAGCAGTTAGACTGAATCTAGCACCATATACGATAAAATCAATTTTCAAAGTATTCAAATATAAATCCCATTTAATAGCCTGATAGCCAAAGGAAAGGCTCAGGGGCCAGCCAAGACGCGGATTAGAATGATACCGGGTCGGAGCACGGCTGCTCGCAGGTAGTCGCCTTAGCCGCGTGGGCTATGTAGCTTTTAGGCAAAAGAGCGGGCTAAAAAGAGCAATTTCTCGAGATTTTACTATTAATGCCGACAAAAATGACATCTGACTGCTTTTGTCGCATAGTAATAGATGTATCCTGTCTAAAAATGCTACAGGAAGCTGCGCAATCAAATAGTGTGTAGAACCCAGTCCAAAAATCCCATGGACACCATGGAATTCCATGATCTCTTTTCCATGGATAGAGGTCCGTTTTCCATGTAAGATGCATCATATTCCATGTGGTGTCTCTTCCCATGGGCGTTCTACCATGGAAAGGTGTTTTCCATGGAACAAGATTCCATGGAATAACGCTTTCCATGTGAGGACTCCAAGGAAAAGTTCTTGCCATGGTTAAAGGCTCTATGGAAAAATGGTTACCATGCGAGAGGGCTTCATGGAACGGTTGTCTTTCTATGGGGTGACCTATCCCATTGGGCACTGGCCTCTTTACCATGGAAACAATTTCCCATGAAAATCAAAAGTGCTGTAGAATTTGAATTATTGGAATTTTGATCTGAAATTTGGTATGTAGCATCTACGATGAATTTTAGTGGGGCCGTTTAAATTTCATTCAAATCTGAGAACTTTTTTCTGACAACTCGAAAACGGCTGGAGCTAGGCAAAAACGGACACCAGATTTGGCTCCGCATCGATTCTGACACCTTATAGACACGTTTCATTTATTTCGACCAGACATCTCTTTGTCTTTTTGTGGACTTAAACATTTTGGTATTACTCCATGGAGTTAGTGCCCTATTCCATGGAGACGCTCAACTGCCAAGGAACCTTATTTTCATGGAAACTACCTCACATGGAAGTGGGCAAAAAATACATGGAAAGTTATCTTCCATGGGGAAATGTCTCCCATGACATTCCTTGATATCCCATGGTTAATGGGAACGATCGTGGGATTTCTGGACTAGGAAAAACTGCACTACGACAAAATTCCTGCTAAGCCATTTCCCCCAGTTTTCACCAAGTTTTCCTACTTCAAAAACCCTCTTGAACCACAGTTTTGGAGTAAGCTATCTAGTACTTTAGGGTTACGTGCGTGGAAGTGTTGGCTACAACGTAACAGAGAGCTTTCGTTCAATTTCGCTCTTACTCTTTTTATGTTCAATAGAAACGAACGGAATATTTCAGATTTTAGCCCGCCCTTCTGCTTTGAAAAAGCTATCCAGCGGGCTTATGCAAACGATCTCGTGTGTGTCTGTGTGTTTGAGTGTCTGTCTGTTCCACTAGAAGGAGATGTGCTAGAGACTTCAAATTTTCGGGGTATTTCAAGGTCCACTCCTAGAGAACGAAAAGCCTACGGTGAATCCTGGCAGCCACTTCTAAGGGTGTGAATGGGGGTCTCCAAGGTTCAAAAATTCTCCCAAAACGTAATTTTTTTTTACGTCCGTTTGGTTCTATCTCCAACCGTTTAGGCGCTGGAGGGTCTTTTTTGACGAAAATAAGCTAAAAATTGCTGTAGTGAACAATTAGTTTTACAAGAAGGCCTAACAAGCAAGCCCATCCTTCCGCCAAACGGAGTTGCCAGCTCCACTTCGCTGCGCCGGCAACTCCGTTCGGCAGGGGCCGGGCCTGCTTGGCCTGCCGGCGATGGTCAGGCCTTTGGCCTGGTGAAATCACTTTGCATATTTGAGTAAACTAAAGCGTCCGGCGGGGGGCCTGCGGTCCCAGAAATTTGCTCCTCGGACATGACAAAAGACTATAACAGGGCAACACCATGACTACACCCCATCCTTCTGCTTTGCTTAAGAATAAAATAAAATGAACCCTCGCAGTTTTTAGATTGTATATTGTTTGTCAAACGGTCTTAAAACTTATGACTTTTTGCCATTGTTTTCTATATATCAACCTCTAGGGCCGAAACAGTAAAAGATACGGCAAATCCGAGGGAACCGTCAAAGTGTCTAATTCCGGACCAGCAGGGTAAATCCGGGCACTACTTTTTTTTGCATTTTTACAGCAAGTTACACAATATAGGTTCGTAATTTGGATAGATACTTTTCCGGGAGGCTCTGGAGATTTAAATAATTAGTAGTTTCATATTTTAGAGCCGCCCAGAGCAGTGCACTTTGAATAACATGACCCGACCAGTACACACACTGTGAAGCGGTACTTTAATGCGTGTGCCGCTTAGCACCAATGCTAAGCCACGGTCACTAGATACAGCTTTAACGTCACTACGCTGTATAACACCTAAAGTGACTAAATTTCCCTAACCATGGGTTCGTTTCACAGGTAACAAGAATTGTTAACGTTTGTAAGCACCTAGCGGAAAAGTCTTATGAACACATAACATATCAGTTGTTGCGCTTAACTGTAAAACGGATATTTTTCCAACAGCGTTCGTACGCAAAGGATCACACAACATTATTGCTGTCGATTGGAGCGAGTATTCCGGTTTCCCATACCTCTCCGCCTTCAGTAACCTTCCAGGCGTAAGTACCTAGCTCCTCCTTTCTATAGAACTACTTGTCACTCCCTTAAATAACCATTCTAGTCTATGTTCGTACTGAGAATTAAGGCAAGAGCCAAATCGTAAACATATGCAAATCTGAGGGGGCCTTAGCCCTGGCAAACTGGTGTACACCAGCCCCGGCAATCTACGACAATCTTCGTCAATCTCTTGGTAATCGGCTGCTAAAGCCATGCTTTTTGCCTACATTGAGGGTGACACTAGCGGGCCATTCCATTTACCAGTTACAGGATCTGGACCGACCTTCTCCGACTTTCAAAAAAACAGAAAAGGAAAAAGCCTGCAAAACATGAAATTTTTTAGTATTTTTCCCTGCGCTGCTGGCTTAAACGGTTCCGGAGATATGGGCATTTGAAGTTTGAAATCCCTAACTTTAGGTGTTTTAGCTCAAATATCTAAAACTAGGGGCCCGTACGTGGTCAATGTGGTGCACGGGGTAGTGTTTGTAATCGGTCGGTTAAGCGCCTTACCCGACATCCTCTGTTCCTCTCCCACTCAGCTGCGTGTTATGAGAGAAAGAGAGACAGATGCTGTCGGGTAAGGCGCTTAACCAACCGACTGCAAACACTAACTGGGTAGCTGAGCGAAGCGGGTTAAAGTTTCATAACGGAAACCATTGTTTCAGTCGGTTTTTTATTTTACGTTTTTCAGATTTTCTCACTGATTTTTCCGGTTTTTCTGAATTTTTTGAAATGATCCTTTCTTGGGTGGCGTGG